GAGCCGAGCCGAGCCGCCTAAACCGTGCCGCCTTCTCCCTTGCAGTCTCCCGCTTCATGGCGCCGTCCTCGGGCATGAACATGGGCGGCATGGGCAGCCTCGGCTCCCTGGGAGACGTGAGCAAGAGCATGGCCCCGCTCCAGAGCACGCCGCGCAGGAAACGGAGGGTCCTTTTCTCCCAGGCCCAGGTTTACGAGCTGGAGAGAGGTGTCAAGCAGCAGAAATACCTCTCCGCCCCGGAGAGGGAACATCTAGCCAGCATGATACATCTCACGCCGACTCAGGTCAAAATCTGGTTCCAGAACCACCGCTACAAGATGAAGCGCCAGGCCAAAGACAAGGCTGCGCAGCAGCAGATGCAACAGGAGAACGGCTCCTGCCAGCAGCAGCAGTCTCCCAGGAGGGTGGCCGTGCCAGTGCTTGTGAAGGATGGCAAGCCCTGCCAAGCAGGCTCCAACACACCCACGGCAGCGATCCAGAGCCATCAGCAGCAGGCAGCTACGACGATCACGGTGGCTACCAATGGCAACAGCCTCGGACAGCATCAGAGCCACCAGACAAACAGTGCGGGGCAGTCTCCAGACATGGGACAGCACTCGGCCAGCCCTTCTGCTCTGCAGAGCCAAGTCTCCAGTTTGTCTCACCTAAACTCTTCTACTTCTGACTATGGCACTGCCATGTCTTGCTCCACCTTGCTATACGGTAGGACCTGGTGAAAGGATTAAACAAAGCAAAAGGAAAAAAAAAAGGAAAAGAAAAAAAGAAAAAAAAGAGCAGATTTTCCCAGTCACACAAATCTCTGTCCTGTCCAAACTACTGGGTGTTTTTATTTTCTTTTTTTCTTTCTTTTTTTAACACATTTTTTTTTTTTTTTTCGTTTTACTGAGTGGTTCTCTGAGGACCTCTAAGAGAGAGAGAGACTTTTTTTTGTTGTTCGATTTTGTTGTTAGTCTTGATGGTTTTGGGTCTTTTTTCTTTTTTTCTTTTTTCTTTTTTTCTTTTTTTTCCCCAAGGTTGTTGTATGGGGTGTTAAAAGAAAATTCTGACTAATAACCACGGAGCAGTCTGCAGAAAGGGGACCATCGTTAGTCATGGTCCGAAGGCTTGGATTTCAGATGTACACTTTGCCAGAGTTTAGGACTTGCATGTAAATATAGAGATTTTGGGGGGATGGGGTGGTTTTCCCCAAAAACGCCATTCGCGTCACCCAGACACAAGAAGCAGCTTCCCCCCCTCCCCCGGTCTCCTCTGCCAGCCCCGCGGATGGAGACGTGGAGTCATCAAAGGCTTGGCTTTTATTTTCCTTACGTTTGATGTGAACCTGTAGCTGTATAATGCTGTCAAAAGTTGGACTAAACCCATAGTTTTTAGTAGCCTGTATATTTTGTTGTAAAAAGAAAAAAAAAGTACAATCAACCAAACCAATCCCCACCTTTTTTATGGACATTGATCGCCCCGTCATAAATCCTCTGGCAGTTTGTTATTTGCGCACGCCGCCTTTTCCTGTTGTAACTTATGTAGATATTTGGCTTAAATATAGTTCTTAAGAGGCTTCTAATAAATTATACACATTACGAATATTCTTTTTTTTAAAAAAAAAAAATCCCTTTTGTTCCCCCTCTTGACCATCCTTTCCCAGCATCTTTTTTTTTAATTTATTTTAATTTTTGTTTAAATCTTGATGGAAGAACAACACGGGATGCTGCCAAAGCCCGAAAAGCCCCTGCCCCTCCCAGGGCCCAGACCCTGTTCCCAGAGGGGAGTTGCGCCAGAGAGTTAATGGGATACGGGATCAGTCCTCAGCGTGCAAAAGGGACAAGCAAACGCGTGGGATTCACAAACTCGAGGGCAAAGGGATCGAGTCCAAATTCATTAGTGCGATTATTGGGGGGTGGAGGGCACCTCAGAGACTTCTTTGCTGGAGAAAGCAAAGTATTCCGGGAGTAGAAATTCAAACGCCAAAGGCACAGAGGAGAGAGAAGGTAAAAGTCTAACGCCACTAGAAACAAATTAACGAAGAACCTGCTAATAGTATAGAAGATGCGACCGGTTTAATGAGCGTCCAGTTTTAATACCTTGTTAAAAAAAAGAAGAGATAATTATTTCTACCAGGTTTTCCTATGTACTTGTATTTTAAGGGAAGTACAGTCACCTTATTTATAATCAAAATAAAAAAGATAGTTTATTGTGTACTACATGCAGTTTGAATTAACTTTCTTTATCAGACTGTATTTAATATTTCTCCCCGTACTCCCCTCCACCAGCACCCCCCTCCCACGCACACACCCACGGCCACGCAGTTCCTCCCGCAGACGTCCACCGCGGTACCCAGGCGGGAGCTCAGCTGTAGGCTGCGGCTCAGTCTAACGCAGTTTGGATTTGATTGGGTTTTGGGGTTTGGTTTGGTTTGGTTTTGGGTTTTGTTTTGTTTTTTTTTTCCCTTCCCTGTAGCGATTTGGGAAACTTGTAAAGGAGGAAAAGGAGGAGACGAAAAGAAAGTGCGTGTGCGCGCACGTGTGGGTGCGCGGGGTGCGCGCCTGGCTGTGACACCGAGGGGTGTTTGGTAGGAGGGTAAATATTATGGGTAATGCAGAGCAGTTAGATACTAACTTTGCTGTAAATCTATAAAGCATACCAAGTGAAGCAGCTCGTATCGGACAAGCCCGAAACACATGTAATTCGCTATCTTTCGGGTCCCAAATACCCCTTTTGTGAGTGTAAGAAAATAAGAAGTCCCCCATCCTAAAAGACCCCGCAGCATGTTTTCCTTCGCATCTGCTGCTCGGTTTCGGATTTTTCTCCAGATCCCCTCAGTTAAACCACGGAAGGGAATCGCAGTATTGAAAAACCTCTGAGTCACAGAGGTATTATGAAATGCTCATATTTTTGAAGAGAAAGAAAGCAGCTCGCCCGAGATGGAAACAACCCAACCTCTAGTTTAAATAGCAGCTTTCGAAAGCTCCAGTCTTTTATTTACACAAGATAGCCAGTGTTACTCGGACACCAAGTGCTAGTTTGGATGGAGAAAAAGGGAAATAGAAGGGGGAAAAAAAAATATCGGATTCTTTCTGCCTGCCCTCCTTTATTTCTAACTAGACAACATCACGTGTGTCAACAGGAATTTCAAAACCTTTAATTCTTTATATTATGTCCTGCTTTATACAGCGACATTCTCAACTAACCCAAAGAATATTCCTGATTTTTTTTTATTTTTTTTTTTATTTTTTTTTACGCAGAATATTCGTTTCAGCTCTATAACATGACGCTAATCATGGCAGGATGGGGGTGTGTGTGTGTGGAGCTTAATGCTGTTATTTCTGATAAAAGAAGCAAGTGTTGGGAGTTCCTGGTCCGTGGCACAGCGCTGCCAGCTCCCGCCCAGAGTTAACTCTACGGATTTTTAAAATTAGGGTTAGTTCCTCCCGGAGTTAATATACAACACCGAGAGGGAATGTGCTGTGGTTAGGTCGACATTTCCCCTTCAGGTGTAATTAATGTTTGCATCCTTTCAAACACAGGAACGTTCAAAAGTGAGGAGCACTGAAAAGCACTCATAAAGCGGAGAAATATTCCCCCCTCCACCCGTCCCCCAAATATTGGAGTTAGAATGTTCGCTAGAGATCCAGCCAGTGACTTTTCATTATAGACTTCGGGGGAAATAAATGAATTTTATTGTGTCTCGACAACCTCATAAACACATATTTGGTGGTGGGTGTAATTACTGTAATGGATTATTATGTACACTGACTTATCTTTCTTAAACTAGATTTAGTTTCGATTAAATAAACTCGTTTCCACTTTGTCTGATGTCGGCTTAGTTTAAAGTCTGTTTACTTGTTCCACAGAAAGGTGAATTCATCTCTTTATTAAGCACTAGAGACCGAGCAAACACAGTTCAAACTGTATTTACATATCAATCAGGAGAAATGCAAACAAACTGCTCTTTAACAATTTTATAGAGTTTTTTAATGACATTGTGTTATTGCCTTTTATCATAAAATTCTTTGTATAAACCAGTTATGCCTTGACTGGAATGATGATATTTCGCGGGGGGGATGGGGGGGAATAAATTTTAATTTCCAGTCTCCCCCGAGAACACTCATGAGAACTTAGTCACTGTATAGCTTTTCTAAATGAAAATACATGCCTCCGTCTAAACGCTGATTTTCAGTCTCCCGGTAATCAATGCAGAACTTGGATAATGGGATGGCGAAGGAGAAGGGGGGCAGCATGGTTCAAATCTGAAATGATGGAAGAAATGCACGTTTCCCAATATAACTGTTCCTTTATCGACATGAGGCTGGGAGCACCCCGTATTTTGAGAGATAAAGGGATCTAGTGAAGAATAGCTATTCTCTTCACTCCCCCACCCCCTGGCACTGCCTGTAAATGTAGCAGAATCGCGGAGGGCATTTTTTCCTGCTGTAAATAAGAGTTCATGCTTGAGTGCCGTGAAGTGTGCGTGTAGTGGCACAGCAGGCTGGGGGCGGGGGGGGCGTGGGGGGAACAAAACAAAACTAAAACCAAAACACACACCAACAACAACAAAAAAAACCCAAACCAACAAACAGCAACCCCAAAACCCAACAGATAACCGTCACCACCACCACCGCCACAACAGCAACAGCAGCAGAAG